CTGACCAGGGACTATCTGATTTCTCGACCACCCCTTCCTTAATTAAGTCATTCATGACATTTTCCATCTCTTGTCACTTTGCCAGAGCTATTCTTCTTGGAGGGATCTTTATTGGACGCTGATTGCCTGTGTTTATTCTGTGTTCCACAAGGTCTGTGCAGCCAAGGTCATGATCTCCTACCGAAAACACGTCTGCATAATTCACCAAACGTTCCCAAACCTTAAGAGCCTGTTATGATGACAAATAGACTACACTCTTCTTATAGAGGTCAGTTAAATGTTCTGGGAGAGAATGTCTTTTCATTATGGTCGTATTTCTTCCTTAACATTGACTGGCTCTACATCCTAGCATACACCCAACAATGCCCCTTCCTTAAGTGTCTGCTCACATTTAGAGAAATTGGACACTGTTATGGGTATTACTTGATGACCTGCCACAAGTGACCATCCAATCTTCACATTCGCTGGCCTTGATGGATCTTCCACTGCTTCCACAAGCTTTGGGCTTCCTTGGGGATGTTCTTTTATTCTACCCCAAATTATCTTCTCCTACATAGGGGGTATTGTAGTTGACTTAAGTGCTGTGACATACAAATCAACGAATGCAGCAACACTTACTGGAATCTGGCCTTTGTTGTTTCCAAACGTCATTTAATCGAAGTTAACTATACACTTACTCGGTAGTAATAGTCCAATCCTAATATGCATTGGTCTTCAATGTCAGCCAAGTATACTTTCTGTCTATTCTTCATGCCCATGAGCTCAATAGTTACCCACACTGGTTCCCAGAACCTTGTATAATATCCTGTCACACCACAGAGCTTCTGTACAGCTTCTGGTACTCCTTTGTGATCCAGCACCTTGATACTCACAAGGGTTTGCTGAGATGAAGAATTAATGACAAATTTGCACCTTTGGCTATCCAGATTTCCTTTCACGTAGACACTATGTGTACTTGCCATTTTACACTTAGCTGTTGGGACTTTCACGATGGAGGTTGGTGGGCGTCCTTCAGCACCAACCACTTCTGGTTCCCGAAGCTAACTTATTGGTGGTATTCTTCTTACACTGGCTCCTCATATATTCTTGCTCTCCACAGTTTCTGGGTAGCAGCCTTTCCTGCTGTGGCATCTCCCCTGTGTTGAAGTTGCCAGCAATGACCTCT